TGAAATATTTCCAAGGGGAAACAATTGTATGTTTAAAAAAAAAAAAAAAAAAAAGTGACTCAGTTAATTAACCGGACCGGCAAGGTGCAGCCTGTAAATATAACTCGGGCTAGGTCCCATTCCCAGTCCCGGAGTGATAGGTGCTGTGTTAGCACAGAGCAGACGTCTAGCTAGGCATTTGGCTCTAGGAAGCACTACTCCAAGAGAAGAGCCTCAAAGAGGTACATTCTTTCTCTTTCCTACCTACAATTTCTCAGAACAAGGGCACCAGTAAGATAGTACTAGTAACATAGTAGAAAGACCACAGAAAAGTGTCATCAATCTCAAACCAACTCCTAGGCTACTCACAAAGTGTGGCTCAATTTCTCAGTTATGTAATTTTTTACTACCTGTTACATTCTTGGTTCATGGCCAATGGAATACCGAACTGAGGAGGGAAAATTATATACATTTTAACCCATGTATCTTAAAAGTTAATTAAAAACATGTTACCAAATACATTAGCAACTGAGTGGCCCGGGTGGTTCTCAGGCTCCTTGGCTCTTATAGATCCTATAAATACCCAGCCCTCCTAGGCTCTGTGCTTCTTGTGTGACCGAAGGAAGTAAAGTAGGTAGGGGTGGTGCTGAGGAGTTTGCTGTTGTTGTTGTTAACTGAAAGATGACACATTTTCTATCTGAATTCAGGAACATCTTGCCACTGACCCATTTCTTATCATAGCCTAGGCCTTCTAAGAACTACTAAGGGACAACACAAATGGTTTCCTGCAACCAAAACAGGGCAAAATCTTTACCAGTTCTTTTCTCCATAAAGGTACTGATTCATTTATACAACACATACTACGTGTTCTCAGTGTGCCTGCCACTACGCTTGGCACTGAAGCTACAGGATGACTCTATGGAGCTTAAGTTCTAGGGGGAGCTACAGACCACAAGGAAACAAATATGCTAGACAGATGGTAGGAAGTGCTGTAAAGGAAATAAATAGGATGATGTAAATGGAGTCGGGTCCGACTCGACGGCACATAACAACAACAACAACAACAACCATGGAGAGTAAGTTGATGCCTTTGAGTTGTGTTGGCGAAGAATACTGAAAGGACCATGGAGTGCCAGAAGAACTAACAAATCTGTCCTAGAAGAACTGCAGCCACAATGCTCCTTGGAAGTGAGAATGGCCAGATTTTGTTTCACCTAGTTTGGTCAGGTGGTCAGAAAGGACCGTTCCCTGGAGAAGGATATCATGCTTGGTAAAGTGGAGGGTCAACAAAAAGGGGAAGCCCCTCAACGAGATAGACTGACACAGTGGCTGCAGTGATGGGCTCAGGTGTAGCAGGGATCGTGAGGCTGGCACAGGACCAGGCAGTGTTTCATTAGGTTGCACATGGGGTCGCTATGAACTGAAGCTGACTTGAGGGCAGCCAACAATAATGTTGAAAAACTGGGAGAGGCCAACTTTAGACAGGGTAGCCAGGAAGACCCCTCTGAGGAATGTTACTTATATTGAGACCTGAAAGGTAAGAAAGAGCCCAGTGTGAGAGGAGAAAGCACTGTGCACATTCAAAGCACTGGCATCATTACTCCTGATCTCTTGATACTCTGCTTGTATTCTCCATTTTTCTCTGCTGCTGCTTCTCTTTTATGTAGGGAGGTTGGTCTTTTATAGTTACTGGAAGTTAATTAAACATTTCTGGTTGTATTTAGTGTAATGTTTTAGTCTTTACAGCTGTATGATTTCATTGATGTATTTATACACGATGCTTTTGATGAGCCCCTTTCTCTTACTTTTTCACACACTTTGCAGCATGTTTCTTTTCATATTTTTAAAAGATGAAAGCACCTGGATGTTCAGACAGTTCTGACAAACATTTAATCTTGGCTAAAGTACTCAATTCTCAGCTTGAAGCAATATTGCTGAGATGAAGTTTTGTTTTTGCTTTTTAAAATAAAATCTGTTTCTCTTCTCATAGTTCTATCAAACAATATGTGAGTACAGCAATTAAATAGAAAATTGCCAACTGTATAATTCTGCATGTTAAAAAAAAGCCTTCCAGGTTAATAGTGAATGTTCCATAAGATAAAAACAAACGTTATGGATTTTTTTTCTCATAAATATGACATGAGAATTAAATAGTTCAATATTTTCAAAATAGTTCTTTATTAATATAAATAGATATTTTAAAATTTACAAGTTAGGTAAAATACTTCCAAAATTAAATGTCAATTCTCATAAGATCATTGCACGAAATACGATATATAATTTCTTGGCTTACTAGTTAGTCTTTTTATCAGTCACCTGAAACAAGATCCTTAAGGCTGAATAACATGTTATAATAATTCCATTTTTTTTCATTTTTTAGACTTCGACAAAAGACAGTCAATATCCTGAAGAATTTCAGAGGTTTTTTTCAATGCTATTAATACTTTCTTTTCATTAACTTCTTCTAGCAAGGTTTCAGAAGATTTTAGGTTGCAATGATCAGAAGACTGCTGGTTTTTCTTATTAGAAATCTGGTTCAAAACATCACTATTCTCCAATAACACTGAGTTGATTAGTTAAGGAGTTTTCCCCTACGTTTTTCATCATATTTTTATTTTCAGAAAGCCTGACCTTTTAAGATAGTCTCAATTGGGAATAAGATCTCTTGGGCAGATCATATTTTAAAATTGGGACTTTAGAATTCATTGAGTCCACAACTTATAGATGATGAAACTGGTTAGGTTATTATGGGAGGAGGAAGAGAAAAAGGCTAAGCATATTATGTGTATTGGACTGTAGGTAAGTGTTGGGGAGGAAATAGAAGAATTAAAATCTTAGTAATATCTAAGTGAAGAACATGGAATAATTGGGAACAAAAGTAGGGATGACAGGATTATATACATAGATTATATACAATCTGTGCAGTGTTTTTATTTTTTTAATTTAAAAAATATTTAGATTGAGAAGAAACTTGTCTTCTGTTGCAGAGTTTCCTTATGATTTAGGATAGGATTAAACCAGGGCTTCGTATCGGTTCCGTCATGGCTGACAAAGCAAATGCGAAACAATCCCAGATTTTTAAAATTTGGGTGAAGTACAATGATAGCTGGAACAGGAAAAATTATAGGCTGAAGCCCTGGAATGGGAGACTCAGAAGAGGCATAGTGAGCCCTTTCAGGGGCCTGATATGCTTTATTGCCAGGACTGAGGAGAGTAACACACATTCAAAGTTGCATAGGCAGCTGCCATCTTTGAGTGGGACACTGTTGGTTCCAGCTCTTGCAGGTCAAGTGATTTGGTTGCTACACAATGCACATATTGCCCTTGTTTTCTAGAGGGAGAATGTGTTTCTAACAAGGTGTTGGCTAAGATTTTTCCTGTTGGTTTACAAATTTGCACTGTTCTGGTTTCTTTGTTGGCCATGACTGAACTGGGAAGAACTTGTTTGAAACCCTGGATTTAACAAAAAAATAAATAAAACTCATTTAGATGAAGGGAGTGATGCTACACGGAATGAAAGCATGCATGAGAAGAAGGGGCAGGGCTCCAACAGTCACAAGTTAGAATTACATGAGTGAAAAAGACTTCAAAGAAGACATTAGCCTAGTTTACTAGTGTGTTGTCTGATTTAAACCCAAAGAAAGGTATAAATGTTAGCATGATATACTTTCAATGGACAGATGCATCTTAAATTACAATATTAAAATATATGTGCTTTTTCAATAAAGCTCAGTAATATGTAAATATGGATTCCTATTCACAAAATACAGAATCACGAATTAAGCCTAGAACGGAGGAGTACTTATACAGTACAATACACTGTTTAAAGGATACAGTTAAACTTCTGTATCTTTTCAAGTTCAGAAGCAACAGACCTGTGCAAGAAAAAAAAAAAAATTAAGTTCATGATAGTTGTCTGATTCTTTTATATCCACAAAATATCATATAAGCATACTTGCATGTTTTCATAAGGGACAGAATTTTAAACAGAAGAACCTAGAGGTTAAGAACTCTTTATATTGTTGTTGTTGTTGGTAAGTGCCATCAAGTGATCTCCGACTGACAGTGACCCTATGCACAGCAGAACGAAACACCGCCCCGTCCTGAGCCAGCTCCATGATTTTTGCTACACGTGAGCCCATCACCACTGCTATCATGTCAATCCATCTTGTTGAGGGCCTTCCCCTCTTTTGTCGACCCACCACCTTACCAAGCATGACATCCTTCTCCAGGGAATGGTCCCTTCTGACAACATGACCAAAGTATGTGAGACCAAGTCTGGCCATTCTCACTTCCAAGGAGCATTCTGGCTGTACTTCCTCCAGGACAGACCTGTTACTTCTTTTAGCAGTCCATGATACTTTCAGCATTCTTTGCCAACACCACAGCTCAAAAGCATCAATTCTTCTTCGGTCTTCCTTATTCATTGTCCAGCTCTCACATGAATAGGAGGTGATTGAAAACCATGTCCTGTGTCAGGCGTACCTTAGTCCTCAAGGAGACATCTTTGCTCTTCAGCACTTGAAAGAGGTCTTTTGCAGCTCATCTGCCCAGTGCTACAAGTCATCTGATGTCCTGACTGCTGCTTCCATTGGCATTGATTGTAGAACCAAGGAATGTGAAGTCTTTGACAATTTCAACCTTTTCTCCATTTATCGTAATGTTGCTTATAGGTCCAGTTGTGAGGATTTTTGTATTCCTTATACTGAGATGTAATCCATGCTGCAGACTGTATTCTTCAATCTTCATTAGTAAGTACTTCAAGTCATCCTCACTGTTAGCAAGCAAAGTTGTGTTGTCAGCATATTGCAGGTTGTTAATGATTCTTCCTCCAATCCTAATGCCATGTTCTTTTTCATATAGTGCAGCTTCTCAGATTATCTGCTCAGCATACAGATTGAATTAGTGAAAGGATACAACCCTGATGCACTCCCTTCTTGATTTTAAACCAATGTTTCCCTTGTTCTGTTCGAACGACAGCCTCCTGGTCTATATATAGGTTCCTCTTAAATACAATTAAGTGTTCTAGAATTCCCATTCTTCTCAATGTTATCCACAATTTGTTACGATCCACACAATCAAATGATTTTGCATAGTCAATAAAACACAAGTAAACATCTTTCTGGTATTCTTTGCCTTGAGCCAAGATCCATCTGATATCAACAATGATATCCCTCGTTCCACGTCCTCTTCTGAATCCAGCTTGTATTTCTGGAAGTTCTCTGTCAATACACTGCTGCAACCATTTTTTAATTATCTTCAGTAAGATTTTACTTGCATGCAATATTAATGATATTGTTCAATAATTTCCACATTCTGTGGGATCACCTTTTTTTGGAATGGGTACAAATACGGATCTCTTCTAGTCAGTTGGCCAGGTAGCTGTCTTCCAAATCTCTTGCCATAACCAAGTGAGTGCCTCCAGTGGGGCATCCAGTAGTTGAAACATCTCAATGGGTAGTCCATCAATTCCTGGAGCCTTGTTCTTCACCAATTCTTTCAGTGCAGCTTTGACTTCTTCCTTCAATACCATTGGTTCTTGAACATATGCCACCTTCTGAAATGGATGAAAATCGACCAGTTCTTTTTGGTAGAGTGACTCTGTGTATTCCTTCCATTGTCTTTCGATGCTTCCTGCATTATTCAATATTTTACCCATAGAATCTTTCAATATTCCAACTTGAGGCTTAAATTTTTTCCTCAGTTATTTCAGCTTGAGAACTACCAAGCGTGTTCTTCCCTTTTGGTTTTCTAACTCCAGGTCTTTATATAAGTTGTGTTTATTTGACTCAATTCATATTCATTAAGCACTTGTTTTTCAGATGGTGATGTAGCTTTAATATCATCTAATCATCTTTTCAGAAGCGTACTTATGATCTGTCAGAGCAATCGCTGATTGCTAAGAGTAGTTAGAAAGGCAATACAGAGAGCTAAAATGCTTCAAGGAACATGCTGAAGTGTGATACATCTATTCTTCAAGTTTGGAAACGAGATAAGCAAACAGAATAGACCACGGTGCATAAAGCACCTAGATGTAGAACATTTCAGTTGGAGAGGCAAAATATCATGTTCATTGTCTAGTTAAGAACCACAGCTGCTTCAGGAGAGAAGGGTAGCAGTGAAAGGGCTGTTAACAGCAATGCTGCTTATTCTTTGGCTACAGCTGTAGTTGCACTACTCATGCTGATTTCATCCCCAAATGTTGACTGGGCTGATCCGACTGAAATTTGTATAAAACAATACAAAAGAAAAAAAAAAAGTCAGACGTTGGGAAAATATATTTCCTTGAAGCTGCTCAACTCTGGATTTTATTAAACACATTTGATTTTTTTTCTTAGTGGGAAGGGAAGGAGAATCGCTCAAAATCACTAAATTTAGAATCTATATAATTGCTATGATAGGCTCAAATGTGATTCAAACACCCCAAACTATGGGATTTGGTGACTAGAGAGCAGAGATGCAGAAGTCTTTATAGAGATCACCAGTGCTGACAGTACTCTTTAAAAAAAAAAAAAAAAAATTATTAAATAGATATTTAAAAATGAAACTAAAACATATTCATGTTAGTAAACTATAATACCATCCTATAAATAGAAAAATAAAACATCCTCCTCTCCACTGGGCGCTCCTCTTCTCGCCCTCCTTTGGCTCTCCTACCTCCATCAATATTCTCTCTCTTCTTTTTATTGTGGTAAAAACTCATGCCATACCCAACAATCAATGTCTGCTGCATAAGACCTGTCTCCTCACTATCTGCACAGGTCAAAATATACATTGTACATTGGCCCTTGCTTCCTGCCTAAGATGTCTTCATTTCCCTTAATTTACAGAAATTGAAACCCAGTTCTGGGCCCCTGCACACTGAAAGGCACCCAGGAGAGACTAAAATACTTGCTTTATTTGTTAATTTGTTAATTAATTTGGGGGGAGGTGGAGCGCCCATTAATATGACAGATATTACAATATCAATTTTTTTTTAAAGCTTATTATGCTACTTAACATTTATTTCCTTTAATATTATTAAAATTTTAAGATCCTCTTTTAATTTTTTCCATAAAGTTTTAGGATGAATTTATCACATAAAAACGTCATAAACATTTTGTTGTGAAGCTGTCAATGAAAAGTTTTTCTGATATTCAAGATGAAATACATTAAAACAGAAGTCTGATAAAATAAAAAATTAATAATAAAAATAAGTTATTTTCAAACTTAAGCAATCAAAAACATTATAGGAGTTAATTATACTTAACCAAAACAAAGAAAGTTTTTTTAGTAAATAAGTATGAGTTTTACCACTTGACACCTTCATTTTTTAAGTACTAGTTGGTTTTTCTAAACAAGTTAAGTTTAAAAGAAATATAGATACCAATTTTCTTCAAGGGCAGAACATGAAGGATGTGTGGGCATCTCTCTTGGACAAGCCTGGGTCAGGGTTCTGCACCATGACATTACTGCTGTCACATAACTAAAAGGAGCACATTAAAATAAATATTTAAAAACGTGTTTGCATAAATTATGGAAGTATTTTAAAAGAGGAAAAGTCATTAAGAGAATTTGGGGAAAAAAAGGATAAAGGACAATTTTTACAGTAAAGCCTTTAGCAAAGAATTTTCCAGATTTTTTTCACTGAATATAGAAAAGGCATGTGTTTCCCTTTACTCATCAAAAATGATTTACTCACACACGATTAATTAAAGATGACATTTGAGAATCAAAATGAATGTGATCATCATTCAAAGTAAAAATTCAACGTAAAATGAATTTCACTGAGCTTTATCATGAATATATCTTTACACGTAAGATTACTTAAATGAGCATTTGCTTCTCAAAATTTAAACCAGAACATACCTATTAGTGCTTATATATATATATGTGTGTGTGTGTGTGTGTGTATATATATATATTGCTCTATGTATATACACACATACATACATATATACACATACATATAAATAAGTATATATAACTTATTGAATAAATAAAAGAAATCAATTTTATTAAAATGAATGTTCTCATTGCTTAAGACAAATAGTAACATTTGCTAAAGACAGTGTCTTTTTGCAGCAAATTATTCAATATGGCAGTAAATATTAGTGTATGTAAACCAAAAAGTAATGAAGTCCAGCAGAAAAATAAATTCAAGAAGTAGAAAAGTAATTCTTTTGTGCTACTCTCAAGTAAAACCATTAAAATGTCAAGAATATAGCAATTAGAACTACTGTAACTATTAAAAATTACATGAGCCAAAACAGAGAAATGTGAATGTGTGAGAAAACACATACATACTCTGATTTTAAGAATCTCCATTTTAAGAATCATCATCAGCTAATTTTATTTTTTCTGCTTTATAGAAATATGTAAGTGTAGTTATTTGTGGTTGGAAACCTAATTTCAAATTAGTTAGTTAATTGGTTAACACAGCTGACCACAGCCTAACCTCCACTGCAAGGCAGCTATGTGTATAAACACCCTTCATTTGAAAAATCACTTGAATATAAGTGAAATGATTAAAGAAGACCCGATTTATTTACATTTAATTATGTTAGTTGCTAATATAACGTAAACTTGAATATTTATAGAAATGATTTAATTTATATTATTCACATGGAAAAACTGAAAATATGTATAAAATTTAAATAATATGGGTAATATTCTTCCAATCTGTCGATCAAAAGTTATTTACCAACATGAAAGTAAGTTAAAAATTGCTTTTTAGTACCTTTCATATGGTCCCAGGTGTTCAATTTGAATTAGCTTATCTCGTCCATCAGGAAAAGTTAACCTACACCAACCGAAGTTGAGACTCCGATTTACCTTAAGAAGCAAGAAGAAAGGGAAATTTTATCACTGTAAAATAAAAAACCAAAACACAAAAAACAACTCTCTTCTAACTTAATTATCAATTAAAAAAATAAGAACTAGATGAATTAAAAGTTTATTTTGACTAATTTAAAATAATATTTGACATGATATGTATTATTTTTATAATCACCTCTTACACAGATAATTATCAAAAAGAATAGAAATATTAGTATCTCTCTATATAATGATGGGAGCTCTGGTAGCATAGTGCCTAAGGCACTTGACTGCTAACCAGAAGGCTGGCGGTTCAAACCCCCCAGCCACTCCTCGGAAGGAAGGTTGGGCAATCTACTTCCGTAGTGATACTGCCTTGTAAATCCAAGGAGGGGTCACTATGAGTCAGGTCCGACTCGACAGCATATAACAACAACAACAACTATATAATGATTATCTTTATTAAAACATATATTTGCTGCTCCATTCTTATTATTGCTAGGAAAATCCAACAAGATCAGTAAAGGCTCTAGTCAGATTGTATACTTCAAAAAAAAAACACACAAAAAACAGTCTGACACTATTTTCTTTGTTCTGTTTTCCAAAGATAAATAGAAAATAAAACACAGATTTCAGTCTGAAGTACATTCACCTGTGTTTCTTCAGGGAAAAAGCTGAAATTCCAATTTAAGGTTAGGGTAATGCCGTCTAAAAAGATAGCATGCACTTTGTCATCAGAGTATGCAAGAAATCTTCCCACGTTAGGTATGAGCGCTTCTCTCAAGAGCAAAGGCAGTATATTGCTATCACTTCTCCCAGGTACCTAAAACCAAGTGAATGAAAACAGCAGGAAATAGAATTAAACACTAACAAGATTTAAATGAGTATTAATGAATTCTGAGGCAACTTTAGATTAATATTCCAAAATAATGATATTTTGAAATTCAGTAAGAATATTTGAAAACTGTAGAATCTTTATGTATGTTTTAAATGTTCTAGACGTTGTTGTTGTTGTCAGGTGCCATCGAGTCAGCTTTGACTCATAGTGACCCTACATACGACAGAAGGAAACATTGCCCAGTCGTGTGCCACACTCACAATGCCTGCTATACCTGAGCCCATTATTGCAGCCATTGTGTCAATCTACCTCACTAAGGACATTCCCCTTCTTCACTGACCCTCCACTTTACCAAGCACGATATCCTTCTCCAGGGAATAGTCCCTTCTGACAACATGACCAAAGTAGGTGAAACAAAGTCTGGCTATTCTTGCTTCCAAGGAGCATTCCAGCTGCACTTCTTCCAGGATAGATTTGTTCATTCTTTTAGCAGTACATAGTACTTTCAGCATTCTTCACCAACATCATATCTCAAAAGCATCCACTCTTCTTTGGTCTTCCTTCATCATCCAGTTCTCACATGCATATGACGTGATTGAAAATACCATGGCTTGGGTTAGGCACACCTTAGTCTTCAAAGAGACATTGTGCTCTTCAGCACTTTAAAGAGGTCTCTTGCAGCAAGAGATCTGGAAGACAGCTACCTGGCTGACTGACTGGAAGAGATCCATATCTGCACCGACTCCAAAGAAAGGTGATCCCACAGAATGTGGAAATTATTGAACAATATCATTGGTATCGCATGCAAGTAAAATCTTACTGAAGAGAATTCAAAAATGGCTGCAGCAGTATATTGGCAGAGAACTTCCAGAAATGCAAGCTGGATTCAGAAGGGGACATGCAGCGAGGGATATCATAGCTGATATCAGATGGATCTTCGCTAAAAGCAAAGAATACCAGAACGATGTTTACTTGTGCTTTATTGACTATGCAAAGGCATATGATTGTGTGGATCACAACAAATTATGGATAACATTGAGAAGAACTGGAATTCCAGAACACTTAAATTGTACTCATGAGGAACCTGTACAGAGACCAGGAGGCTGTCATTCGAACAGAACAAGGGGATACTGCATGGTTTAAAATCAGGAAGGGAGTGTGTCAGGGTTGTATCCTTTCACCATACTTATTCAATCTGTATGCTGAACAAATAATCCAAGAAGCTGGACTATACGAAGAACATGGAAATTAGGATTGGAGGAAGGCTTATTAACAACCTGAAATATGCGGACAACACAACTTTGCTGAAAGTGAGGATGACTTGGAGCACTTACTGATGAAGATTAAACACTACAGTCTACAGTATGGAATACACCTCAATATAAACAAAAATCCTCACAACTGGACCAATAAGCAGCACCATGATAGATGGAGAAAAGACTGAAGTTGTCAAAGGCTTCACATTACTTGGTTCTATAATCAACACCAATGGACAAAGCAGTCAAGCAAAAGACGTATTGCACTGGGCAAATCTGCTGCAAAAGACCTTTCAAACGCTGAAAAGCAAAGATATCTCCTTGAACACTAAAATGCACCTAACCCAAGCCATGGTATTTTCAATTGCCTAATATGCCTGTGAGAGGTAGACAAAGAATAAGGAACATTGAGGAAAGATGATGCTTTTGAGTTGTGGTGTTGGTGAAGAAAGCTGAAAGTACTATGGACTGCTAAAAGAACTAACAAATTTGGCCAGACTTCCTCTCACCTACTTTGGTCATGTTGTCAGAAAGGACCATTCTCTGGAAAAGGATGTCATGCTTGGTAAAGTGAAGGGTCAATGCAAGAGGGGAAGGCCCTCAACAAGATGGACTGACAAGGCAGCTAAAGTGATGGGCTCAGGTATGGTAGGGATCGTGAGGCTGGCACAGTACTGGGCAGTGTTTTGTTCTGTTGTGTATAAGGTCACTATGAGTCAGAGATGACTCGACAGCAGATAACAACAAGAAGGAAGCACTAAGGAATTCTGGTGGCAAAGTGCCTAAGGCACTTGACTGCTAACCAGAAGGCTGGCAGTTCAAACCCACCACTCCGCAGAAGGAAGATGGGGTGATCTACTTTTGTAAAGATTTACTGCCTCAGAAACCAAAAGAGGGTCACTATGAGTTGGAATTGATTCAATGACAGTGGGTTTGATTTTTTTTTTTTTTTTTTTGTAGGGGGCACCAAAGCAGTTCTGGTGGCACTGTGGTTAAGGCATTGGGCTGACAACTAAAAGGTTGGCCGTTCAAACCCAACTGCCGCTCCATGGAAGAAGGATGAGGCAGTCTTCTTCCATAAAGATTTACAGCCTTGGAAACCCATCAGTGATCACCATGAGTCAGAATTGACTCGATGGCAGTGGGCTTGGTTTTTGGGTTTAAGGGAGCACTGGTAGTGTAGTGGTCAAGGCACTTGGCTGCTAACCAAAGGGTCAGCAGTTTACAGCCATGGAAACCCAATGGGGGTTGCTATAAGTTCAAAATCAACCTGACAACAATGAATTTGGTCAAAAAGTTTAAAACAGTCTTCTACCTTGAGACTGCCTTTACTTCGTTGCCATTTGGAAATTCTGTAATTATACCATTATGTCCCTCTTTTTGCTTTGTAATTGTTGTTATTTACAGAGTTAATATTCCTGGTTCCCTATTTTTACTCTTCTAAATTCATTTCGGGAGCTCTAGTGGTATAGTGACTAAAGCATTTGACTGCTAACCAGAAGGCTGGCAGTTCAAACCCCCTAGCCAATCCTCAGAAGGAAGGTTAGGCAATCTACTTCTGTAGTGACACCGCCTTGGAATCCCAAGGACGGGTCGCTATGATTCGGATCCAACTCGACTGCAGTGGCAACCAACAGGGCCAGTGGACGGAACAGGTAAGGCACGCAGGGCACAGCCCCCAGGGAGCAGGGAGCAGCGGCAGACAGGGCCAGTGGCCACAACAGGTAGGGAGGAGCCCGGGAATCGAGTGGAGCAGTTGGAACAGCTAAGAAAGACAAACCTGTCTGTCAGATTGTCATCCTGTGGTGGTTTGTGTGTTGCTGTGAGGCTGGACACTGTGCCAGCAGGAATGTCCCTGGTGAACCGGTTTTGGTGGAGCTTCCAGACTGAGAAAGACTCAGAAGAAGCAACAGGCCACACTGTCTGGAAATTTTTATGAATAGCTCTGAAATATTGTTTGATACAGTGCCAGAAGATGAGCCCCTCAGGTCGGAAGGCACTCAAAATATGAATGGGTAAGAGCTACCTCATCAGAGTAGACTCTACCTTAATGATATGGATAAAGTAGGGCTTTCGGCCAAACAAAAGACAGGCATATGAGTTGAACATTTACCTCAAGTAGATACACTCCTTGGAGAGAACAATCATGGGAGAAAGAAGTGCTGCTTATGAGCCCCTCAGGTCGGAAGGCACTCAAAATATG